TACAAATAAATAAATATATATATATATATATAAATAAATATACAAATAAATATAACACATATATAAATATATATAGGCCTATAAATAAATATATAAATAATTACAGTATATATAAAATAATAATACAGTACATATATAAATATATAATATACAAATAAGTATATACAAATAAATATAAAAATATATAAATAAATATATAAATAAATATATATATAAATACAGTATATATGAAATAATATATATATATAATTATATAAATAAATACAGTATATACACACACACACATATATATATATATATATATATATATATATATAAAATATCTCTGTATGTATGTATCTGTATATCTGTATTTTAACAACATCTATCAGCACTGCATACTTTCGGATCGACGATTCGAAAAAGTAACCAAGTCCAAAAGTATATGTACTGCGCATGACTGGACTACACAGGCAAAGTGTTACTTATTTACATCTACTAGGCCAAAGAATAGGCTAGGCCTACGTGTTTGCAAAACTGGATAACCTGAAAAAAAAAATAATAAGTGTATGGCTCGCATGGCTCGCTGACTCGCATGGCTCGCATGACTCGCACATTGGCTCGCATGACTCGCTGGCTCGCACTTTGGCACTACTCCCTGTAAACTAGGCCCTATAGTAATATCATACTTATTTTTTTTTTTTTTTTTTTGAAATACGCAAAAGCACGACCATCCATTCTTCATGATGCTATATCATATACTGTATCACTATAGGCCCATACACAAAAGTAAATCTTGCGTTTGTTGGTGTTTTAAAAATACATAGCAAAGCAGTATATAGTTATAAACTAGTTATACACTTATTTTAATTTCATACAAATAGTTCATTTAATTGATAATAAGATTTGGTTCAAATACTAAAAACTGATTACTGGAGTAGTGGGTACGCCACTTCTCCGTATGTCTAACCTTTTGTACTGGAGAGAAGGTTAATTAAGTGGCTAGTTGCTAACGGAGATAATTAATGACTAATGATGAAAGTTAACAGATAGTCAATTGCATTACTTCTCACAAGTTAACAATTACTTATGTACTAACTTATATCAAAATCGGGTGCTATTCCTTAGTTAAGAATTCCACTATAAATAAAATATAGGGATGCAAACACCATGATACCGAAATTTATTTAATCTGAAATCCACGTATTTCATGAACCCAACTAATTAAAATGGTAAATATACTGAGTACTGTAAATATTATTATATTCAGATATTTCTTCGATCATTTAATTATAATCATTCATGTTTGAACAGCACTTTAATCACTTAATCTCAATCATAATTTAGTAAAAACTGCAAACACTATCGCTTTTGGACACACTGGACATTTGTCAATGGTAAATGGTGAATGCGTAGTGATGAATGAAACTGGAATTGAACAATTCCGACACCTAGTATTGACACCTAGTATTGTATACAAAGAAAATGCATTCTATTAGACAATAAGCAAAACTCATATTACAGTGGTAAATCCAAGAATTTGAAGGGTCTGTACTATCTAAGCCCCAACATATTATTCAAACATTAAAATAGTATATCATACTTTATAGTGACGGAGCTGCAAACATTACCGGAACCTACAAATTAATTATCATTATAAAACTAAAATGAAATTTTAAAAAATATGAAACTAAAGTATTACTATTTAGAACGTATGTGCAACACTATGTTTCGTCAGTGGTGGGTGAAATGGAATTGGTGATATATCGATAAGATTATTAAGGATGACCAGGTCTGAAAGAAAAATTACCAAGAAAGAATAATCTTCTGTAGAAATAGCAAGATATGGATAAGATGCTCAACCCAATAAAACACAGATAACCAAAAAAAGTGAAAACTAATAAACTGTGTAAAAACGATTTGAGCAACTAATATCACGGAATATATACATCTACTCTATAAGCTGACAATTATTCTTTTTTATTCTATTCTTTCGAGCAAATTTCGTGAATGTTTAACTAAGTTACAAATAAGGAATAAATGTTTACAATCCAAATACAAATGTGAATGAAAAGGAGATCCAAATTCACGTGTGACTTTGAGAGACAATTAAAATATTTAGGTTCCCGACCTAAATATCTCTAGGAATGATCAATGGATCTCAATGCCATTAATAGAATAGTTTTTTATGTTTAGAAATGTTAACATATCTAAAACAATATCTCTAAAACGAATCAATAGATCAAACTGACATTTTCCAGTACAGTTTGTCATGTTTTATTGAAGATGAGTAATAAATTCTGATCACGATCCAAAGTAGGATGTGCATAATAATAATAATAATTCTGGATTTATATAGCGCCTCCCGTTGACACAACCTCGAAGTGCTTGAACATTATTACCCCCGGATAAGAGGACAATTAAAAGAATAGATTTACCTTATACCGTAGGTAAATAACAATACTTATATGATGAATATTCCAATTACAGCAATTACAAAAAAATGTTTATAGTGTTTTCTATGTGCATAGTGGTTTCCCAATTAGTTTTTGAAACCTGATTGGGGACATTTTAATGCATCTTCTTGAAGTATGTGCCCAAAACGTAGCATGTGAAGTGAAAATTAATAAAAAAAAATTTGCTGAAATCATTGCAGATTACAAAATATGAAAATGGCCGCACTTAAAAGGAGTCCCAAAAAAACCCAGACTAAAAGTAGAAATAGTGCCATGGTTGATGATAATAATTATCAGTATGATGAAATTATGATGCCTCGTCCGTCAGTGACGATGCGTCTGATTTGCGAATGTGTATATACATAGACTACTAAAGTAGTCACTTTATTAAGTGTCATGTTCAGAATATTTTACGTTTGTAGATGACGTATGGTATGTAAGAGTTGGGTGCCTAAATGCATTCCTAATATCATCGCACGTATTGTACCGCTCTCCGAATAGAATACACCTGCCCCTTATAGTCTATTTCTTATTCTGTATCATACTAGTTTGAAACTTAAACTAACACAGCATCAAGAATTATTTTATTTATTTATTTTATTTTATATTTTTTGCAGTACTATTTTACTATGCTATTGTTGTTTGTGTTTCTTTCTTTAATACAATAATGATAACTTATATAACACCGGTATCTGTCTTGCTCAAATCCATCTATAAATTTTGTCGATGTGGAATACGTTATGGAAATGTATTCAATGCGTTGGCTTCAACTACCATACCATTTTCAGTAAGTATTTTAACAAATGCTTCCTTAACTTTTGGGTCTTCAGTAAGTTGGTGTGACCTTTCCAGTTTCAATATCAAAATCCACTCGTCCTTTAGGTCGCGTAAGAACAGGTTACACAAACGACCAATGCATTTTCTGCTACGTTTGTTTATAGCCTTGCCAAATTCGAGCAAATTTTGTCGATGCTTGGAAAATTTCTTGATTTCAACTTCATTTAATCTGGGAAATGTCGGTAATTTTTTTTGGATCTTAGATTCCACACCAGTTTGGCCACCCAATACAATGATTTCGATGATGACGTCAATGTTTGCTCGACTGATAAGCCCACTACCCCTAAGTTGATTAAAGAGAAAATGTGGATCACTTTCATCTTCCATTACTGTTACAGGAATAACTTTAAATTCGCTAAGTATGACTTTCAACATATTCACGTTTCCATGCTCTTCCCACCATGCAGACACGTCTTCTAGAAGCTGATTGAATTGCAACGGAGACATTTCTTAAAGAAAAATATTGATTAGAGTAAACATTAAATATTGTTTTTTTATACTTTAAATTAAAGCATATTCATTACTAACACACCAACGCCTTAGAAATTTCATTAAAAAGATATTATTCCCTTAATAAAATTGATTTCTAACTTGCCTAAAATTGGCTCTTTGAATGTGTAAATGATAACAATTTTGCTTTATGACAATGAAATAAAAATATAACGCATTATTAGCACAGCTGTATCATACTAACCAACCTGGTGGCATCCCGTACGCCTTTTGAACTCGTGGTGTACCATCAGTTGGAGGCCTATATACCAAAACAGAGGCCGTAGAAGGTGTACAAAAGGCCGATTGTATGCCCGGAATATCTATGAGTATGTAAACTGTATACCATTTACAAAATGTTAATTAAATATAATCTTTAGATTTTTTTTTTAACAACCACAATTATAACTACAGAATATAAAAATGAAAAAAAAAATTAATAATTGTGTATGTGACGATCAAAATTCCTGCGTGAATCCTAAGGTCATTTAAATTTATAAGGTCGTGTGAGTTTGTTGGGTTTGAAATATCTCAAAAACTGCAGCACAGATCTAAGTGTAACTTACCTGGAGTGTTAGGTATGACCCAAGGATGAAGTGGTTAATTTTTGCTGACGGCCCTTATCTCTAAAACGGATCAATGGATCAAAATGATACTTTCTAGAATAGGTTTTCATGTTTTAATAAAGAAGTGTTTAAGTTTGGTCACAAGTATCATATATAAAATATAAAAAAATATATATAAATATATCAAATATAAAAAACAATAACTATAACGATGAATATTTAAGATTATTGCAATTACAGTAAAGGTGTACAGCGTTTTATATGTACCAACTGTTTGGGAATAATTTTTTATGCATTTTTACATTGAACACAAGAGGCTAAACCCCTATTTTTATTTGCATATTTCCATTAATCACCAATACATAGCATATATTTTGTATAGATTTTGTTGTCAGCCATAAGAGTAAAAAGTTTCAATGTGCTAAGTAATACAATGTAAGGAATAGGCAGGTGTATAACTGATCATAAACTGATACAATAAAAGGTATTTGGAATATAAAGTGATTAAATTGTGTTGTGGGTATATGGGACATTCACAGCAGAACAGCCCAGATCGGTTACTTCAAAAACTAGTCAAGTGAATTAAAAGAAAACTTTTGTGTTTTTTTTTAAGCAGATGGTGGTTGGAAAGCATGAACATATATTTTTGAGATTTATTTTATAGAAAGGTATTTGCGTTGACATATTCGTTGTTGTTGTTGTCGTCGCCGTTGTTATATAATTATGTCCTCAATACTATCTATGAGAGGATATTAAAGCATAAATACACATAAGTATACACACCCATACACACACACATGTAAAAGAGTTAAAAGTGTCACTCAGAAATTGAAGCTAAACCGTTTTAGCTTTTCTTGAACTGCACTCTTTCCACTTTCTTTTGTGTTGTAAGAGTAACCAAAAGCAGCTTGATTATTTTCATTGATATTTTATTGACTGCTACGATTGGTTGAAAGGTTTTTGTTTACGTGCGCGCCTAAATATATATATTCCATCCGTCTTCAATTATAGAACCCATGTGCCCAATGTGACATCAGGACTAATTAACAGGTTTTAACCTGTTTGAAGGTAAAGTAGCTATACTAGACGAAGCTTAGTTAAAACCGAACCGAACAACAGTATGTATCAGGCTATGCATGACCTTGAATATTCTGCTTAGCCCTATCGGTTACTAGAACAGCCTACCCCAGAGAGAGCCGGGCTAAGCCTAGTTAGATATTATCCTATGTTCACAATATGCCTAGGTGTAGAACTAGGACCAGTGCCTAAGCTAACCTGCTACTTAAACAATTATAAAGAGTAGGCTTAGGTCTATACAAATACAAATGAAAATGATATAATTAATAACTTAGTAGGTTTAAAATCGTCTGCTACTAACCCTAGGCCCTAACCAACATGCTCGCCGAGTGAGGACGTGTGTTATTGGTCGCTCCAGAAAAAAAGCCCATGTGGTAATTCAATATACAAATTAACCGTGTTGATTATTAGAGAACCAAACCGAAGGATCTTGAGTTCGTCATGAGTAGAAACCTGAAGAAGGGGAAAACTGTACAGAGTTCCAGTTTAGAAGGTCATAAGTCTTCTAAAGCTAGCCCCTCACCATCAATGGGAATAAGAAAGTACACGCTCCGGTCTGACCAATGCATTCAAGAGAATCTATGCGAGGAAGACAACGGCCAGCCCTCCGTGACTTCCGAGCATACCGGTGCCGAGGTTAGTGTTAGCGTAGGCATGGACAACAAGGCGGACACATTCCAATCTGCATTCCAGGCAAGTATAAATTTTGAGATGTATGTTAGAGACTCTTTAGCCTCAATAACATAGAGCATACAAACTCTAGAAGCAAACATTAATGCCTCCATGGAATTTCCTAATAAAAAAAAATAGAGGATATTGAAGAGAAAGTTAACGTTTTAGCCTTAAAATCAGATGAAATTAAGCGCGATACTCATAGGCAACACTCAATCAACGCAGAAGTTCAAGAGAAAATATATAAATTAGAAAGATTTAGCAGAAGAAATAATTTGAGAATAGCAGGAGTAAAAAGAAAGGAAAACGATAACTGTGTAGCAGTTGCTAAACCTATTTTTGAAACACATTTCAACATGACAGATTTTAAGATAGAGCGAGCCCACAGAGTAGGTAGAATGCAAGAAGACAAGCCACAGCATATATTAGTGAAAATGTTAAGCTACATGGATAAAATTAACATCATGACCAAAAGTAAAAAAGCTCTAAAGGAAGAACAGTTTTTTTTATTTTTTATGATTTAACAAAGGAAGACCTTGCTGAAAAAGCTAAATGGAAGAAACAAGTACAAGAACTTTATGAAAAGGGAACTTGGCTAAAATTCGGCGCTGGAAAATGGAGAACTATGACAGGTGAAACATATAAGTTTAAATAAGATCCTGGAGAGAGCTGAGAAAACAATGATTTTGTGTACTCATTTCTCTCAACTTCTTTTTTTAACGCAAACAGTTAATGCATTTAATTTGATTGTTTCGAGTTTGCTTGCAGTCTGGTGACCTATTTTAATTCAATCTCGGGTTTACCAGTCCTTATCCTCGGAGGTAAATGGGTCCCGTTTTAAAAGGGACTAGAATGTATGACTTTATTGTGTATTCTGTTTTTATTTACTTGTGTTTATTTCTTGTGAGTCAATCCTTAAAATTAATAATAAATTTTTATATAGAGAGAAATGAATTTACAATTCGGAAGTCTAAACGTTAGAGGTATTATATTTATGATCCCGTATAATACGGGATCATAAAAAAAAGAAGAGAGCTATTTTGTTGGTTAAAGGAAAAAATGAACTGTTATCTTTTTACTGGAAACGCATAGTGATCTGAAAAGTTGTACACAATGGCAAAGGGAATATGGTTATACTGCAATCTTTAGCCATGCAAATACAAACAGTGCGGGGGTATCCTTATTTCTAAATTGCAATAATGATCTTTCTATTGAAAAAGCTATGTTGACCCCTTGGGTCGTTGCATTATTGTAGACATTTTGTTAAACGATATTTGTTACACACTTATTAATATATATATGCACCAAATGATGAATGTCCATCCTTTTTTAGTACTCTGAAAGAAAAAATAGGCAAATTCAGCTGTAAAAATTTTTTGGAGGAGATTTCAATTGTGTCATTAACCCAATTTTAGACAAATATGGTGGTCGCCAGGTAGTTAAAATAAAAACTCGTGAAGCCATTTTAAATATAATGATTGAACTAAATTTGATTGATATCTGGCGAAAAAATAATCCAAATACAAAAGCCTTTACCTGGCGAAATAATAGTAGAGAAAACTCTATCCAATGTAGATTGGATTATTTTCTTATTTCTAAACATATTTCCCATACAATTTCAAATACTGGGATAATACATGGTTATAAAACTGACCATTCAATGATCACTTTAACAAATAAGTCTAACACACAAAGACGAGGCAAAGGATGGTGGAAATTCAATGTGTCCCTATTAGATGACGTTGATTTTATTGTTGGGGTTAAAGATTATATAAACTTTTCCCTAAACCAATCCGAAAGCTTTAATCCTGGTATGAAATGGAACTTTTTAAAGTGCCAAATTAGAAGCTATTGCATAATGTATTCAATTATTAAAAAAAAGTAAAGAAAAATATATTAGAATCAAACATTGAAAAAGAACTAGAGACCCTAGAAAATAAATATCACAATCAACCCACGATTTTAAATAAAAGATAAAAGAAAAAGAGGAAATCTTGTCTAATCTTGTTTCGCTCAAAAGTAGACTGGATTGAAGATGGCGAAAAACCTACAAAATATTTTTTCGAATTGGGAAAACGGAATTTCAATAAAAAAAACAGTAACATCCATAGCCACAAAAAAAAAAAATGAAATATCACAAAACAAAATCAAATTCTTGACGAAATTTATGAGTTTTATAGAGAGATGTATGTGTCTTCTAATCCCCCGCCTGTTGAAAAAATAATGAATTTTTCCCTTATAATTTTGAAGGCAAGGTGCCTATAACTGAAATTGACAATTGTGAAGGTCAAATATCAGTTGAAGAATGTTATAATAGCTTAAGTCAGATGGAAAATGGAAAAAGCCCAGGAAGTGATGGGTTACCATCAGAATTTTATTTTCGTTTTTGGGATGATATCGGACAAGTACTTGTGGACTCTTTGAACTATGGCTTTACTGAAGGTTGCCTTTCTGATTCTCAAAGAAGGGGTTCAATTACCTTAGTTCCTAAACCACATAAAGATCTCTCCAATTTAAACAATTGGAGGCCAATCTCTTTACTTAATGTAGATTATAAAATCTTATTAAAATGTTTGACAAATAGACGGAAAAAAGTTCTTCCAAACCTTATACATTATGACCAAACTGGCTTTTTGAAAGATAGATTTATTGGAATAAATATTAGGTTAGTACTTGATATAATTAACTTTACTGATCAAAATGATATTCCTGGACATCTTTTATTGATAGATTTTAAAAGCGCTTTCGACAGACTTGAATGGGAATTTATTTGGAAAACACTCAAATACTTTAATTTCGGACATCAATTTATAAAATGGGTCAAAACTTTGTATTGCAATACCTTAAGCTCTGTAACAAACAATGGATACAGTACTCCTTTCTTTAACCTAAATAGAGGTGTTCGCCAAGGATGTCCTTTGTCCCCTTATCTCTTTATTCTCTGCGTAGAGTTTTGGCGAACAATATTAGAAAAAATACTAACATTAAAGGAATTAAGAATAATGAATTTGAAGTTAAAATAAGCCAGTACGCAGATCACACTACGTTTAAACTGGATGGTAGTCAAGAATCTTTTGATGAAGCAATAATAACATTAGAAAAATTTGCGCTATTCTCGGGGCTTCACATCAATTACCAAAAATCCAACATCGTTCCTATAGGAAATTTGAGAAATAAAAACACGTTAATGGATGAAGCATACCAATTCACTACGACTAATGGGCCTGTGCGCCTTATCGTTTAGGACGGATAGGGATAATATTGATTTGTTTACATTAAATT